AATACCTCGGTCATAACTCGAAATTTGACCGAATTACATGACTGCTGAAACTCGCTTCCCGTTAAAAACAGAATTCATTCGGCGCCTTTAAAAGCACAGCAAAGAGCACAGCAAAAGTTGGCCATTTGGAAATACTACATCGTCTACAGTTTTGCCATTATTCGACAGGGCTCTCAAACAGCCGGAACAAAACATATCTTGCTGTAAATAGATTATTCATCAGGCCTTTATTCATCAGAATGGAGATGCATTTTTGCCGTGTAATAGTTTTTTCAGTGATTTCTGTAGCTTCTCTATAGTTTCTGGTAGCAAATTACGATGGCTCTATTCTGATGATCAAGCAAATAAATTCATAATACATGAATTATCAAAGATACGTTCATCCGACAGACTCTGAACTCAAACGCACAGGCCAATAGCATTTTATCTAAACCAAGTCAAATTAAACCGTTGGTTTAAATTTTGCGTATTTGCTTCTCAGCAATTCGAGACTACAACCACAAAAGACTACAAAGCAGTCTGAATGCTCGTTGAAATCTTATTATTGGAAAATACACTAGCCATTGGTTTTGAAAACACATTATTGATGCAGTTTCAGATTTTTTTGTTTTGTTTGCATTTAAATTATCAGTGTGCAGTTTAATTAGCTAAACTGTTTCGCTTTCAAATGTTTATCGTTATTTTAATCGAGGTTAATTTTTTCCGTTTCCAACTCGAAACGATACCTATGCAGTAAACTTTGGTTTCTCAACAGAAAAGCAGTCAATCAATCAGTTTTGATTATAGCTCATTCTTTTGGAGCAGCAGAGGCACAGGTGCTAGAAAGTGTTTTCGATGTTCCCGACTCTGTGCCAGAGTTTGAGCTTCGACGAAAAATAACCCGAGTCTAGAGCCGATTCTGCCGAAACACACACGCACCAGGTCAGTCTTGTCCATTCCCAGGGACATTGGACGGTCTGTTCTAATAAATAGTAATTTTTGCCTTCCTTTCTGCACCAAAATCCATGCTTTTTAAAAACCCTATTCTCTTCTCCGCTGATTTATTGCTTGCTGTTTTGATTTCAAAATATATTTTTGTTTTGCAAAGGATGCTTCTTCAAATGGCTATTTTAAATAATCAATCGAATTACTGCTCTTTCAGTTTTTCAGCCATCGATTCTTCACTTGACAGCTGTTGAATAAGACTTTTAATTAAATTTACTAAGCATAATAATTCAGCATTCAGAAAACATTTAATCCTCTCTTATGTGACTATTGCGCAGTCTTAAGGCGTAATCTCTTCTAGTAACCTTGAGACCATTTGGACGGACCATTTCTTCATGGTATTTTAGCACCTGAAGTGCAGTGGCGCAATACAAAACCGCTTTAATAGCTACAACAAAAGCATCTTCAATCTACAGTGGTACACCTCGATCCGCTTTGATACATAATGAAAATTAAACCCAATATTATGGGTTTATTGGCTAACTGTTAGATTTCGATACCGTCACCAAAAGTACCTGATACTTCGCTAGTTAAACCATAATACGAGGATTAATTTTTGCTACGTTTAGAAATGAATTATCACAAAATTTCCTTTCGAATTGTGTACAGTAATTTGCCAGTAGTTAGCACATTTTCACCACTTATCCAACTCCCTAATCTTAATAAGAATTGTACAAGCACCTACGATTTCCCGTATGGTTGCACCGTTCACTTAGAAGGAATTCTGATCTTTCCATCAACAGGTCAATCAGTTAATGTCTGAATCGCGATTCGTAACAACTCAGTCAATTACTCTGACTCGGTCAGAACGACTGCTGGAATGTATGCGAACGCCGAATATTTTTCTCTGCTTTAAAAGATCCCTTCACACTAACAGGTGAGTCAGGGTTCACGTCAAAAGACTCCTACCAGATCGTTTTTCCGTAACATTGGGCGTAAGGCAAGCCTGTGTTCCGCCCCATCCTTGCTCAGCTTGAATATGGATTGCATTCTACATGCATAACTCTTGAAACGACCTCCCCTGCATTCCATAATGGTGCCATTTCCGGCGCCCTTATTTTCATGAAGTTAGTTCTGTGGCACTATTATCCAGCACTGCCATATTTTAAAGGTAAAATAAACTAAATATTTCTCAGTCTTTGGTGCCGGACGTAAGCAACGGCCCTTTGCTTCTAGCTACCTAGGGTCCTTTTAGGCAGGCCACAGCTCCATGGTATTTGAGCACC